TTCTCTATAAAATCTAGTTGTCTATATGCATGTTGTTAATACTTGTTCTTATCTGTGGCTTGCTTTTTAATTTTGTTAGTCGTATATGTCAAGGAGAAAAATATGTCCTTTTTGAGAAAGTCCAGGTCAAGGCCACACAGATACTTTCTTACATTTTCTTCCAGGAGTTTTATAGCATTACTCTTTACATTTGCACAAGTGATTTATTTTGAGTTTGTTTTTGTATATCAACTTGAAATAAGGTTGATATTTGTTATTTCCTTAAGGATATCCTACTGTTCCAGTAAAATTTGTTGAAGACTATCCTTTCACATTAAATTGCCTTATTGTCTTTGTTGTAAATCAATCAACCATATATGTAGTATGGATCTAACTTTTGAATTTCTTTCTTGATATATATCTATTCATATACATATATTTACATATGTTCTAATATGTATATCAAAAATATTTTATTGTCAGCATCAACAAAACGCAGCAAGCAACAACAGAAAATTCACAAAGTCCAACAACAATAAGAGATTACCAAGCATCCAAAAAAAACGAATATATCTATAATCAGGAGACAAATCAATTAATAAAATGGAGCAAGAGATACACAGACAAAATTTGAAGACAGTGATGTTAAACATCCAATATAAATATGCTCCTCCTTAAGATAGGGATTGTAGAGGAAAACAATCATGAGGAAGTGGTAAATGAGAATTTTTTTAAAAAGAAAGACCCAAAATAGAACTAGATATGGAATAACAAGGTAATAAATGAAAAATATGCAAGATGGGATGAGCAACACATTAGGCAGTGCAGAAAAAATGATCCCTGAATTTGAAGACAAAATAATAGAAATTACTCATATTGAACCATTTACAAAAATAATGAACATAATATACGGAAATATGCTGATCTAGTGTTTATGTAACTGTAGTCCAAGAATGCAGTTGGTGGAGAGGTGAGAGGAGTAAAAAGAAAATATTTAAACTTAATAGCTAAAATTTTTCCAAATTCAATGAATAATATAAGCCCACAACTCCTATAAGCCCAACAAACACCAATCAGGATAAAAATTAAAAATGCCTTTCTTTCGCCAAGTATGGTGTCTCATACTTATAATCCCAGAACTTTGGGTGGCTGAGGTGGGTGGATCACCTGAGGTCAGGAGTTCAAGACCAGCCTGACCAACATGCAGAGACCCCATCTCTACTAAAAATACAAAACATTAGCCGGGCATTGTGATGCATGCCTATAATCCCAGCTACTCCAGAGGCTGAGGCAGGAGAACCACTTGAACCTAGGAAAGTAGATGTTGCAATGAGCTGAGAGAGCGCCATTGCACTCCAGCCTGGGCAACAAGAGAGAAAGTCTGTCTCAAAAAAAAAAAAAAAAACAATTGCCTCTTTTTAAACAGTGAAAGCAAAAGAAAGCCTTTTATTTATTTATTTACTTTTGGGACAGAGTCTCACTTTGTCACCCAACCTGAATTACAGTGGCATGATCTCTACTCACTGCAAACTCCACCTCCCAGGTTCAAGCAATTATCACACCTCAGCCTCCTGAGTAGCTGGGTCTGCTGGCAAGCACCACCATCCCCGGCTAATTTTGTATTTTTTGTAGAGAAGGAGTTTTGCCATGTTGGCCAGGCTGGTCTCGAACTCCTGACCTCAAGTGCCCACCTCGGCCTACCAAAGTGGTGGTATTACAGGCGTGAGCCACCGCGCTTGGCCAGAAAGCCTTTTTAAATAAACACAAGTGTAAAGATTTCATTTCCATCAGAACTCAACTATAAGAAATGTTAAAGGAAGTTCCTCAGGCAGAAGGAAAATGATACCAGATAAAAATGTAGAGCTACTCAGGAATTGAAGAATAACAAAAATTATAAGAATGTGGTGAGATGTAAAACAAAGTTTTTCTTGCCTTAATCTCTTTAGAAGATAACTGACTAGTCATGTTATTGTTGGCAGGAGGCCTCGATTCCTTGCCACATGGTCGTCTCTATAAGGTTGCTTGAGTGTTCTCACAACTTGGCTGTTAGTTTCCCTCAAAGCAAGTGATCCAAGAGAGAGTATGTGAGGAAGAAACTGCAATGCCTGGTATAACTCCATCCAAAAGTCGTATGTACTTTCACTTTCACCACATTCTAGTCATTGTATGTGAATCATGAAGTTCATGATTTAGGTGAGAAAAATCTTTTGAAGAGAGTAATGTCAAAGAATGTGTAGACGTATTTAAAAATCACCACAGGTTTGTGAGTGTTTAACAGCTGAAAGTAATAAACTGTTTTGCTTTGGAGAAATTACACATTACTCATCTATCACCTATGCATGATGGGACTATGAATGCAGCAGCTCCACTCACTCCCAGACTCATGGTAACCTAGGAGAGACCACTAGACACTGAGGAAGTAAAAGTTTGATCAGTGATTTCACAGCACCTGCTGTTTTTGTGTACCTGCCATGGGTCTTTTCTGGTAACTTATTGCTCCATTTCAGGGCCTAGAGTGATCAATTCAGGCATAGAGGCATAAATAATCGTAAATAATGCTGAGCAATCACAGATCACCTCTATCCTTCTATGTAGAGTATTGGTCTTCATGTCAGACTCCTTAGATTGGGATCCTGGGTCTATCACTATGGAGATGGATAGCCTTGAGAAAATTACTTAAGCTTCTTTGTGTTCCAGTTTCCTCCTATCTAAAATTGAGATTAAAAAATATACTACCTTTCTCACTGGGTTGTTATGCGTATTAAAAGAGTTAAAATGGGTAGTTTTATATTTATGCTTATATGTATAATTGTACTTATATTTATAATTATTTATAAAATTCATATATATTTATTTTTATATATTTATATTTACATATTTTTAAGTGTGACTTCAGAGAGGACCTGAATCTGTGACTATTGGCATCTGATTTCTTAGACATACTGAAAAAAGCTTTTGGAGGAATAAAACCCAACAAAAAGAATGAAAATTAAAAGGTAGTACCAATATCATGATTTGAACCCCTGAATCCAGATGTGCCTGAATCCATAAGTGGACTCCACTATTGAGAAAGCCAATCAATTTCCTTTCTTATCACCTAAGTTAATTTCAAATTTGAATTTCAAAGGATTCTGAGAAACACGGTATATAAAACTAGTAGCACTGCTCTTATACAGCATGAGTCACCAAGAATGTTGACTTACGTTGCCCACAGCCATTATAGTATATACAATTTTAATAAAGGGAAAACCACATATGCTAATAAACTTTGAATGGTAAGTGATGGTCTTAGTATCCAGGTAGGTGAGCTGGAATCGGGGAATTGATGTGAAATTCTCACTTACTGGGTCATTGTTTAGGAAGATTTTATCTCTGTCCTGAAACAGGAAGGGTAGTTCAGATGAAGTGAGGCCTAGTCAGGTGCCCAGAGGAAAAAGAAATTATCAAAAAATAAATGCCAAAAGTTACACTAAAAAGGGTAGGGACAAGGGTAAGTGAATGTTGGTATTAGAGAATTATTAAAAAAATCTTTACCTTCTTTAAAATTTGGCTTAAAAGTTATATGTAATTTTTGTCTATTTGAAAACACTAATAAATTATATTAACCAATTCCCTATCCACCAATTTCTTATCCTGCACACCTCAATTTTATACCAAAATATTTCTAAAGTTATTTTGATGCAGTGAAGAATTTTAAACACCTATTATCTTAAGTTTGCAATACTTTTTGGTTTATTATTACTTAAGACCATAAAAACTGAAACTTGCTATAAAATACATGACTATTTTTCCTTCGAAATTATGCGTGAATGTGTATATTGTATATGTAAGTGTATATACAGATTCATATAATGATGTATATGTTCTCTTAACCAAACAATTTTCTGATATATTCTCTATTTTTTGCTGAAGCTTACTTTAAAAAGTGGTATGAAAAGTTACCATTGAGACAATTCATTGTGAAAAAGAAAAGGAGAGGAAACCAACTGAATAATTATCTTCAATAGAAAATAAAATTATTATTTACTTCCTGGTGCTCCTAAAAGATATAACATTCATTTGTTCAAACAATGGAAATTAAATGACAAAAGAAGAGTAATATGAATGCTATATTTTTTATAAAGGAAACACTTTTAAAAATCAATTGCTATGATATTAGCAGCAAATCTTCTTAGTTATATTCTGAGGAGAAATTGAGAAACGATCACTAATGCTAATAATGAAGAACATAAAATGAAATTAGACTGGCTTTGAAGGGACAATAGCAAATGCCTTTGAGTCCACCGTAATTTATTCAATTAAGTCACAGGCAAAACATAACTAAAGTCAACCACTGATAATAAATACAAAGTGTCAAACAACATCTTAAAAATAAGGAATGTTTCAAAATATTGATGTAAAATATTTTGACATCTGGCAAATGATTGACTTAATTTTTATTATTTGCTCAAATATATAATCCTCATGTAGGGAAAGTTTTCATGTCATGATTTTATCAATATTATTTGTTAGAAGCACACAATCATATTACTTGTTGGTAGCAAGTAGATTATAAAAGTGTAAAATTAGAGTTCATAGATATAGCCTGGTACTGTGGTATCCCATTCCTTTGAACATCACGGCAAATTTAGGATAAATATTTAAAAGTAGCAATTTTGTAAATTGAAATAATGCCAATTTTCACTGCTCTATTTTATTGATACATACTCTAATTACTCTTTATTATCCATGCCCTGGGCCATGTTTTGGAATTCTAAGCAACAGAAGTTAGTAGGTTTACGTTGGCCTTAAACAGATTTTGCATTTGAAAAATTTAATCCAGGAAAGGAATTTAAAGAAAGAATAAAAAAATGACCCATTTATTCTGAGCTTGAAAAAGGCACATCATGCAGAGGAGAGCTGGATGCAACCACAGTGAGAAGTGACTTATATTCATACCACATGCTAATATTTCAGATTTCACTGATGTCTTTTCACAGTGAAAATAGCCCACACTCTTGGCCTCATGTCGAGTAACACACCTGGTAGTGGGAAGAAGATCTTGAAGCAGATGAACTGCTACATTGCTCATAGCAATCGCTCTGTGGGGAAGCTGTGCTCATTTTGAGCTCTGCTGTGGATGAAAAGACAAACCAATAACCTGTGGAAAGTCAAAACACACACAAAATTAACCTTGATAGGCCCATAATGGAGAAACCAATCAAAAGACAATATATTAGCCAGCATACTAACTCTGATTGATTCAATATGCTTTCTCTAACAAGGCATTTATGCTCCTTGTTAATGTAACTGACTTGTTCCCTTTGCTCCAAATTTGAATATTTATAAAGCAAGTCCCTTTAAAAAATGTTTTATATCTTTTTTCTCAAGTGTTACATTAACATCTCCCATAGGATTTTACATATTTGTTTACCCCTAGTTCTTCATAATCATTTAACCTTTATGTATTATTATAATCATCATTACCTTTAATCATATTATTTTCTTAACAAATAATTCTTCCCTAATATGATCGTTATATTAGTATTTTCCTAGTAAATTATCAGTATCAAAAACGATATCAATACATCCTAGAATAACCATCCTATTCTTTAAATGCCTCTGAAAAACAATTCTATATGCTCATTTCCAAATTTTCACATTCATAAAATTCTTTCACATTCATAAAGTTCTTCCTTTCATCAAACCTAAACTGTTCCTATTTCAAATTACATCGATTTGCTGTGGGTCACTGGAAATAGGCAACTATTGATTACGTTTTCTGCACAGTGAATATTAAGGATGAAATTGTCAAGGAGACATTAAAATGTGACGTCTTGAATCATAAAGACAGAAAACATCTTGAAAGTTCATTGCCTTATCTGGAAGTCAATATCGAATTAACATCAGGAAAACTAACAATTACTTCCTGATTAATACTCCAAAATATAAGTAACAAAATTTGGTCTTTGTTTCTTTGTTGCAATAACATTATGGTAATTTTTTTGTTTTAAATTAATTATACCATCTTACACTCTCGTGTTTAATTATTGGTAAGTTAGTTTATATACCTGTCCTTTCACTAACTCAGTAGTCTTTTCCTTATATAAAACAATCTTATGTATCTAACCAATTGGAATATTATTTATAATTTTTTGAGCAAGAGAACACAGGAATATTATTGATGGTGTTTTCCTATATTTTTCAATGGTATAGTAATCAAATTTTAAATGACTGTATATATTAAACCTTAGTTTATTTAACAAACACATTTATTGCACTGGCCATGTACCAGGCATAATTATAAGTGCTTTAATAATATTAATTCATTTAATCTTATTAACAATAAATTATATTCTAATCACAATATTAATGTTGAGAAGTATGCCAAGGTAACACTGCATATAATATAATAGTAGAGTTGGAATTTGAACCCAGATAGCCCCAGTTCCAGAGTCAGTTCTCTTACCCACTGTTTCATGCAATCAAAAAGGAAAGGGAGGGAGGACACTATGAGAGGATGGCTATGGCAACATACTTTTTGAATCTCATAAGCATACAGGCAGCAGCTGGATAGTAAAACACACAAAACAACTAGATCAAATGTCCCAAAATTATAAGCAACTTTTACAGCAAATTGAGAAGGCAAGATATTTCTACAAACTTCGAAACACATATGATTGAGCACCAACCATCACAATCACAAGACCCACATGACAGCAGCCTCTGTGCAGGACAAAGCAGAAAAAGCAACAAGGTGTCTTGTCACAGCATTCCAATTTGAAGACAGCAGCTGAACTGAGAGTGTTTTTGCCAAATCCAGTATGAAATGAGTTGAGAAGTCCACAGTAGGATAACGAGAAAAAACTGGTGCAGTTTGGCTCTTTGAAAATCTTAAAACAAACGAGTTAGGCTTCAAAATGACCTAAAGTAAAATTAAAATTACTTAAGAGATTAAAAAAAAATTCAGGAATGACATGAAAGAAAACCTGAGAGGTATATTAAGAGAACTCAGGAAAAAGAAATTTTTTTAAAAATCCAACTTTTCAGAAATAAATTAGAGAAACATAAACACAATAGGAAACACTTTAAGATAAAGGTAAAAGATAAAAAAGAAGAAACTTTTTAAAATTCAGAAGTAAATGAAAGAAGAGATTTAAAAAATTAGAAAGTGACAACTATTGAAGATAGGCAAAGGAAGAATTTTCAATAGACAGTAACAGCCCAAAGGATGAAAGAGGAATAAAAGAAAAAGAAAATGACACTAAAAATTTCAATTCAGAAAAACTTCCTAATATAAAGAAGAGTTTTAAATTATGTATTAAAAGAGCATATCGGTTGGGAGCGGTGGCTCACTCCTGTAATCCCAGCACTTTGGGAGGCTGAGGCTGGTGGATCACCTGAGGTTAGGAGTTCAAGACCAGCCTTGCCAACATGGTGACACCCCATCTCAACTAAAAATACAAAATTAGTTGGGCGTGATGGCACGCGCCTATAATCCCAGCTACTCGGGAGGCTGAGGCAAAAGAATAGCTTGAACCCAGGAGGCGGAGGTTGCAGTGAGCTGAGATCATGCCACTACACTCCATCCTGGGCAAAGAAAAAAAGAAAAACTCCATCTAAAAAAAAAAAAAATCACTTAACATATGTAAGAATATGGTCCCACAATGACCAATGTCACGAAATATGGGGCTTCAAAAAAACAGAAAAATTTTTTGATATTAAGTTAATTAATTAATTAATCAAGAGAAAAGTACTAGTTTATCATTAGTCTCTTTGACAATGACATTTAGCCCCAAAGAAAACAGAGTAATATAGTCAAGATATGCAATGAAAACAAATGAAGATTTTAAACTCAGCAAAACTAAGTTCAAACTATTATCAATATATAAGAACTTAAAGTTCAAACTATTATCAATATGTAAGAGTTTAAAAAATATTGTTCCCTTGAGCCATTCACAAGGAATTTACTAAAGGCTGAACTTCAGACAACTAAGATGACTAGAAAACATCACTATAAGGATGAGTGGTGATAACTAAACTTATGGACGTTTATAGATGTAAAATTAATGACAGTTGTCACGGGAAGGGTATTGTTCGAATAGCTATGTGCCCTGATATTTTTAAATGATGGAATAAGTAAGAAAATCTTTTATGAAAAACTACTTTCACTGTTTTTATTAATTATATTAGCAGTGGAATATTTATATTATTATTATAAGATTATTGTGTGTCACTGCTGTATAAAACAAGTGAAACAAGTGAGTAATTATCATCACTTATGATCTCAAGAATAAGAGTTTTTCAAGTTGGAGAAATATAGATGGAATGCAGAGTGGTTAAGCTAAAAAGAAAAAGAAAAGAAAACCTGCATTGAACTGGAATTATCAATATGAATCATGCTATTGGAATGCTAATTTTTATATTTTGCTGACTACCTAGCATACTGAACTCCCAGATTATAGTCTTACATTACCATTTATTACTAAAAGAAGGTGAGGCTGTATGGGGATATGGCTGATTCCAGCACTGGAGCAGGGAATGTGGAAAACCATATCAGACATCAAGGAAGCCATTAAAGGCCATTATAATCATGTCAAAATGACGCAAAAGCTAATTTCTAGAGGCTTTTATTATCCAGTGATAGACAAACTATTTCATAATAATACAACATTATTGGTTAATATTGAAGGATAATAGACAACCTATTAATTCTCTTGAAAATAGATATATAGAAGGGCAGAGTCAAGCATTTATCATGCCTTTCCAATTTGAATTTTCCAATGACTAGCCAAGTACAAGAGGAGGGGATGTGTCTCTTCATAAAAGTATTTAATTAACAAATTAAGAGAAATAATAGAGGAATATGAGATATTTAATTCCTCAATTAATAATAATAGAGGAAATTCCCCAGTGAATTAATAAATTGATGCATTAGAACCACTTCTGATAATGTCACAAAAGAGATAAATAGACATAATTTGCTATCTATAAAATTCAGATTATGAGATATTCTCTACAGGGCAAACTGTTTTTCGGCAGACTATAAAAAGTCTAAAAATAGCAAAATTTTAGTGCTGTTAAATTAAGCTATCTAGAAATTCTCACTTAGATGTAACATTATAAAGAAACGTAGGGAAGTGGTAACTAAAATAATCAGGATAGTGATTACTTTGGGGAGGGGAGAGAAGGTTGGAAATGGTATAGGAATTCTGAGGACACCTCTGGGTAGCTGGCAAATTTCTATTTATCAACTTGCGTGGTAATTACAAGGGCATTCACCCTAAAATATTTCATTGAGCTATAAATATGTGTGTTTTCTATATCTGCATTTCATTTTCTAGTCAAAAAATAAATAAATAACACTGATTTTTTTTTTTTTTTTTTTTATTTTTGGTTGGGGGTTTTTCTCTCTTTTTCCCCAGGCTGGAGTGCAATGGCGCGATCTCGGCTCACCGCAACCTCCGCCTCCTGGGTTCAGGCAATTCTCCTGCCTCAGCCTCCTGAGTAGCTGGGATTACAGGCACGCGCCACCATGCCCAGCTAATTTTTTGTATTTTTAGTAGAGACGGGGTTTCACCATATTGACCAGGATGGTCTCGATCTCTTGACCTCGTGATCCACCCGCCTCGTCCTCCCAAAGTGCTGGGATTACAGGCGTGAGCCACCGCGCCCAGCCCTGATTATTCTTTAATGAAACATTCACTTAGACACACATGTATTTTTCAAGTGTATAACTTTAACTCAAAAATAGCTACTTTCTATATTAAATCTTATTTGGGGCATAAGAATTCATCTGGTATATCAAGCCAAATATCAGAAAGTCATTGTATATGTCATGTTCCTCTCATGACAGTTCTAATTTGGCTCTTCTGCTCTCTTAACATTTCCACACATATCTCCCTTTCTTGTCAACCCCGTCAACAATTCCTCCTTCCAGAATTCTAATGCTTCTTTCTTATGTGATAGAAATTGCCTGTTATATAATTACTACGTTCTGATTGTCTTCTACCTTATTCTCCATAAAACTACCAAAGTGATATTTTAAAACTTAACATTAGTAATATTATCGTTCATGATGAGGATGTCAAATGTCGTTTAAAGTACATGTAGGTTTTCCTTTCTCTTGGTAGAACTTAAATACATAAATACGTATTTTGCAAACTTTCAATTAACACTATTTTAAAGCAAGTTTAATTCAATCATTGGATGAAGTAATAGTACCAATTCAATGAATAGAACAAATACACAAGGGTCTAATGTTTCAAAGAAAATTGAATGATATTCTTCAAGTTACAGAAATTTGCCACAATTGAAGTTTATTATGGCATTTGTTATATTAGAAGCTGACCATCTAATTAAGCTAAGTTCACTGTAGTCATAGGGATCATCAAAAAGATTAAACTTTAGGTCTAGCCATTCAAAAGAACTCCAGTGTGCTTGCAGTGATTATTTTATTTTTTCTCTTAAGATGACTAGTAGAGTTGCAGACAAGACTCACAGAGTCACAGATTATTCCATTTTCAACTGGAAAAATACTTGAAAGGCCTAACACTCTCATTTCACAAATATTGACTTTAGGGAGAGACATTGGAAGGGTTGCTCAAAATTCTAGCACTAGACGTGACAGATAAGAAACCAGTTCTTTCAACTCTCAAAACCCACTCCCCTTCCTTCAGTATTGATATGGTCCCCACCTAAATCTCATCTTGATAATTCTCAGGTGTTGTTCCATAATTCCCAGGTGGGAGGGACCTGGTGGGAGATAAGTGAATCATGACGGGGGTCTTTACTATGCTATTCTCATGACAGTGAATAAGTCTCACGAGTTCTGATGGTTTTATTAAGGAAAGTTTCTCTGCACAAGTTCTCTTCTCTTGTCTGTCACCATGTGAAACATGCCTTTCACCTTCCACCATGATTGTGAGGCCCCACCAGTCATGTAGAACTGTGAATTCATTAAACCTCTTTCTTTTATAAATTGCCCAGTCTCAGATATGTCTTTATCAGCAGCAGGAAAATGGTCTAATACAGTAAATTGGTACCAAGAGTGGGGTTCTGCTGTAAAAATACCTGAAAATGTGGAAGCGACTTTGGAACTGGATAACAGGCAGAAGTTGGAAGAGTTTGGAGGGCTCAGAAGACAGGAAAATGTGGAAAAGTTTGGAACTCCCTAGAGACTTGTTAAATGGCTTTGACCAAAATATTGTTAATAATATGGACAATGAAATCTGAAGTGGTCTCAGATAGAAATGAGGAACTGGAGCAAAGGTGACTCTTTATTATATTTTAGCAAAGAGACAGAAAGCATGTTGCCTCTACCCTAGAGATTTGTGGAACTTTCAACATTAGAGAGATAATTTAGGGTATCTAAGGAAGAAATTTCTAAGCAGCAGAGCTTTCAAGATGTGACTTGAGTGCTGCTAAAGGCATTCAGTTTTAAAAGGGATACAAAGCCTAAAAATTTGGAAAACTTACAGCCTGACAATGTGATAAAAAAGAAAATCCCATTTTCTGAGGAAAAATTCAAGCCAGCTGCAGAAATTTGCATAAGTAATGAGGAGCTGTATGTTAATCACCAACACAATGGGGAGACTGTCTCCAGGGCATGTCAGAGAAATGTATGGCAGCCTCTCCCATCACAGTCCCAGAGGGCTACAAGAAAAATAAAAATGGTTTCGTGGGCAAGACTTGGAGTCCCTCTGTTGTGTGCAGTCTAGCCACTCCAGTCATGACTAAAAGGGGCCAAGGTGCAGTTCAGGACTTAGCTTCAGAGGGTGCAAGCCCCTAGCCTTGGCGGCTTCCATTTGCTGTTGAGCCTGCAGTGCACAGAAGTCGAGAACTGATGTTTGGGAACCTCTGCCTAGATTTCAGAGGATTTATGGAAACACCTAGATGTCCAGGCAGAAGTTTTCTACAGGGTAGAGGT